CAGGGATTCATCCCGGAGCTGGGATCCAGGGATTCATCCCGGAGCTGGGATCCAGGGATTCATCCCGGAGCTGGGATCCAGGGATTCATCCCGGAAATCCTCCGCACGTTCTGGCACATCCCAAAATCCCCACGGTCTGGGAGAACTTCCCAAACCGCCCGGGCTCCATCAGAGCATTCCCAAAATCCGGCAGAACATTCCAGCCCGGCTCATCCCATGATTTTTTTCCCGTCTCATTCCGTGGTTTCGGAACGTCCTGCCCGGCTCCAAGAGCTCCTGGGAATTCCTCTCCCAAAAAAAACCCCGGGAATTCCATCCCACGGATCCGGCAGGCGCTGGAGATTTTTCCGGGGGATTCTCGGGAATTCTCCCACCCCGCCGCCCTCCTGGAATGTTCCAGAGCCTCCTCCTCGTCCTCGGAGCGATCCCAAAATTCCGCCTCCAGCGGGAAGATCCCTGCGGCGCTGAGGTAGTTCCAGGTGTGGGATCCCAGCTGGAAGCGCTTCCCCAAAAAAATAAAAACCAGGAAAAAACTCCAGGCTGGAAGAGGCTCCGGATGGTTCCGGAATCTCCTCCGCCAGAAAAGGCGGGAAAAATCCAAAGAAAGCTCGGAGAAAAGCTGGCTGAGGGAATTTCCTGGAATTTCCTGGCACAGGGAGCAGCTGGAGGAGCTGCTGATTTTAGGGAATTTCTCCTGGTTTTTCCTTTCCGGTCCGGATCCATCTCATTCCCATTTTCCTGCTGATTTTAGGGAATTTCTCCTGGTTTTTCCTTTCCGGTCCAGATCCATCTCATTCCCATTTTCCTGCTGTTTTTAGGGAATTTTCCCCATTTTTTCCATTCCAATCCAGATCCATCTCATTCCCATTTTCCTGCTGTTTTTAGGGAATTTTCCCCATTTTTTCCATTCCAATCCGGCTCCATCTCATTCCCATTTTCCTGCTGTTTTTAGGGAATTTTCCCCATTTTCTCCATTCCAATCCAGATCCATCTCATTCCCATTTTCCTGCTGTTTTTAGGGAATTTCTCCTGGTTTTCCATTCCAATCCAGATCCATCTCATTCCCATTTTCCTGCTGTTTTTAGGGAATTTTCCCCGTTTTTTCCATTCCAATCCGGCTCCATCTCATTCCCATTTTCCTGCTGTTTTTAGGGAATTTTCCCCATTTTTTCCATTCCAATCCGGCTCCATCTCATTCCCATTTTCCTGCTGATTTTAGGGAATTTTCCCCATTTTTTTCCATTCCAATCCGGCTCCATCTCATTCCCATTTTCCTGCTGATTTTAGGGAATTTTCCCCATTTTTTCCATTCCAAGCCAGATCCATCTCATTCCCATTTTCCTGCTGTTTTTAGGGAATTTCTCCTGGTTTTCCATTCCATTCTGGATCCATCTCATTCCCATTTTCCTGCTGTTTTTAGGGAATTTCTCCTGGTTTTCCATTCCATTCCGGATCCATCTCATTCCCATTTTCCTGCTGTTTTTAGGGAATTTTCCCCATTTTTTCCATTCCATTCCGGATCCATCTCATTCCCATTTTCCTGCTTCTCCCGATTTTCCAGCTTTTTCCAGCGAAGAGCGGGAGATGCTCCGAGGTCTCTTCCTTCCCACGAATCTCTTGGATTTAAATTAATTTTCCCTCTGGGAATTCCCCCTCGGAATTCCGACAGCGCCGAGAGGACGCGGGGATGGGGAAAGGGCGGGAAAAGCAGCGAAAATTCCCGGAATTTTTGGGATTTTGGGTCGAGATCTTCCCAGAGATCCCAGCGACGGGATTTGGGAACGGCTGCTCCCGGATTTCCTCGGAATGGGGAGGGAAAATTTGGGATGGGGATTTGCCGGGAACGGGAATTTCAAGTATTCCAACCCGTTTTCCCTGGGAAAAATTCCAAGGAAAACCGGGAAAACGTCCCCGAGGGACGGGAGCTGCCGAGCCCAAATCCGGCTCCTTTCATTTTATTCCCAAAAATTTTTTTTGGGAATAAAAGCTCAGCGCTCCCCCCCCCGCCGGAGGGGGGATCCCACATTCCCCAATCCCAAATATTCGGGATGGGGATGGGGGGAAACAGCCCCAAAATTGGCTCCTTTGGGAAATTTGGGAATTTTTTTTTTTGCTGAACGTTTCATCCAAAAATTTGGATTTTCCTGCGGGGCCAAAAAATATGGGGGAAAAAAAAAAAGGATTTTACTGAGAAAAATCGGGATTTCACCAAGGAAAAAGCGGATTTTATCGAGAAAAATTGGGATTTGACCAAGAAAAATTGGGATTTGACCAAGAAAAAAAGGGATTTGACCAAGAAAAGTTGGGATTTGACCCAAAAATTGGGATTTCCCCAGGAACAATCAGCTGTGAGGTTCTGGAGCAGGGAGAGGCTGGGCTGGGTGGGCTCCCGCCTAACGAAGGAATTCATCCCTTAATTAATTAATTACTCTCCCTCCTCCCATGTCTTTTTAAATTATTTTGAATATTTTTAAGCCTTTTTTCCCCTATTTTTAAGATATTATTTTCTTTTTTTTTTCTTTTTTTTTT